GCCCCGGCAGGCGGCTCGCTGGGGGAGACACATGGTGGCCCCGCTCCGCCGGCTGCCGCGCACGTGGGCCCGCCCGGCCCGGCCTCCCCTGCCGGCGGCGGGAGGGGAAGGAGGACGGGCGGAGGGCGGGCCCAAGGCCGCCGGCGCGGCCCTACTGCGGCGGCGCCCGGCCCAACCGCCCCTCAGAGCCCGCCCGGCCCCGCCAGCCAACCTGAGCCCCGCCGTGTTTATCGAGCCATGCGGACCCCCGGCTCCCCGCGCAGGGTGGGCGCTGAGGGGAAAGTTGTCCTTCGACCACCCCCGGGAGATGGAGGAGGCGGCTACGCTGCTCCCTTCACGGGGTCTCGCCCCGTCTGGGCCCTACCGGGAAGGCCACCCCGTTTCCCGCTCTCGGAGCCCCGTAGGTGGAGCGTGGGTGATGGCAGCGGAGCTGGACTCCCCCGAGTGTCCCCGGGGGCTGTGGGTGTCCTCGGGGGTCCCGTTAAGGACAGAGTGAGCTCCCGCAAGTGCGGGAGGCGGCGGAGCGGGGCTGAACTCGCTGGCAGGACCCCGAGGGCGAAAGCGGCACCGACCTGTAAGGGAGAGCGAGGGGGACAGGAGTTGTGTCCCCTTCGACCTTCACGCCCGGAGCTGGGTTTGGAGAAGGGCTGAGGAGGGACAAAAAGCCAGCCTCATCCTTACAGGAGACATACAACGTACCTGTTAAAACACAATTCGGTATAACTAAAAGTTGTTGCTTGGTTGATAAGGGTATCAGCGTGACCTTCAGTAGCCCTCTTCCGAGGTTGTTTTACTTCCCAAGGCCAAGCCTGGGCTAACTTTCCAGAGGATTTTGAAGCGTGCTTATGCACCTGCTGTTCATTGCCCCTACAGCTCAAGGGGCATGGCCCCGCTGCCCAAGCTGAGCACAGTGTAAGTGATTATATAAAGCCAAGGCCTGGTGTTACAGTTCATTATATGGGTATGAAAAGCACAAAAATCCAACAAAATGTTAGGAGAGCAAACAATTCTTTTCATTTTAATTACTCCGATATTAAACATCCTTTACAACTATGTTTTCCAGCTAGAAATGTGGACAAAAAAATTCTAACACTTCAGGATACACTGAAAAACATGTAAAACATGAACAGAATGCCAAAAAGAAATAAAAAAAATACAACTCTCCTGCATGCCCTGATAGATAGTTCCATGCACTGCTGCTTACAGGTTTGTCGGACTGCAGGGCCAAAGGAAACATTGCTCTTTTTCACCATTTCCATTCAGAACCTTGCTCAGTTTCACAGCTTTGCTGCTTTAAAATGCTGCCAGCAGCAGCTGAAACAGCTGCGGAACAGAAATCGCTTGAGCTGAGAACTGAAAGCGTTCAATCACAGCTTAATTTCCTGCATGGTCACAACCCAGGTAACCGTACCCGCCCCCAAACTCCACTAGCACAGGTAACAACGGGCATGAAAAGAAGTCACATGGACTAGATGGATAAATGCTTTCGTTTTTTACGAGTCAAGCTCATTGTACCATGCTCTCACCACTATGGTTACACCGAATCACAGAATCTTCTAGGTTGGAAGGGACCTTACAGATCATCTTGTCCAACCGTCAACCTAACTGACAAAAATAGACACCCACACAACAAACAAGAAGCATCACCATCACTAAACCATACCTCCCAGCACTACATCAACCCGTCTTTTGAACACCTCCAGGGATGGTGCCTCAACCACCTCCCTGGGCAGCCCATTCCAATGCCTGATAACCCTTTCGGTGAAAAATTTTTTCCTAATATCCAGCCTGAACCTCCTCTGGTGCAACTTGAGGCCATTTCCTCTTGTCCTGTCGCCTGTGACTTGAGAGAAGAGACCGACCCCCACCTCTCTACACCCTCCTTTCAGGTAGTTGTAGAGAGCAATGAGGTCTCCCTTCAGCCTCCTCTTCTCCAGGCTGAATAACCCCAGCTCCCTCAGCCTCTCCTCATAAGACTTGTGCTCCAGACCCCTCACCAGCTTTGTTGCCCTTCTCTGGACCCGCTCCAGCACCTCTATGTCTTTTTTATGGTAAGGGGCCCAAAACTGGACACAGTGCTCGAGGTGAGGCCTCACCAGTGCCCAGTACAGGGGGACAATCACCTCTCGGGTCCTACTCGCCACGCTGTTCCTGATACAGGCCAGGATGCTCTTGGCCTTCTTGGCCACCCTGGGCACACTGCTGGCTCATGTTCAGCCGACAGTCGACCAACACCCCCAGGTCCTTTTCTGCCAGGCAGCTCTCCAGCCACTCTGCCCCCAGCCTGTAGCGCTGCAGGGGGTTGTTGTGACCTACCCTTGGCTTTAACTGATTGCAGAAAGCACAGCTATCACACCTGGATTTGCAACAGACCAGGTAGAAAACACAGTGCCACAGAAGCCTATAGTCAAGAACACAGAAAAACCCTATTTAGGGTCAAAACATAGTATTTTCTCTCTCACGCAGCATCCCCTCTCCCTCATCGCTGCAGGTTTCACCTTGCCTTAGCTCTCAGCGTGCCGAACAACAGCCCCAAATCCCAAAGAGGCAACAGCAGCAATGGTGACAGTTTCCAAGTATGAGAACAGGTGAGGAAGGTGATGGAAGAGGCGATGGGATAACACCAGAGGGATGCAGTTTCTGCGCTCCTCAGAACTCTGCCAAGTCTGAGCAAATTACGTCCCTTCTTGTGCCAGTGAAGCCACGTTACACGCACATAGAACAGCCAGGGTACAGAGGGTTACCTCCCACGTGCCAAAGGATGCTCAGAGACCATCAGACAGGGAAACTTCAGTTCCTGCAGAGACCAACTGTGATGGATGGCAGGAGGAAGAAGATGCAAGGGAAGGCTCGCTGCCCGCTGTTCTTGGACTTCAGGAAGAACAGAGCTGGCTTTTTTACTTAAGACCAACTTTTTCTCTTCACGGGGCCATTCAATTTCTGAAGGAATCTCTGAGATTCCCATGCAAATGCTCAGGAGTGGAAGCATGTCTGGAAGACACAAAAAGAAACAGCTGAAGAAGATAGAAGTCTACGCAGTAGAGCTGTAAGGCACAGCAGAGCATGAAAAGAGGAAGCAGAAAATACAGGATAGCAAGAGAAAAATATACAGAGGCTTCAAAAGAAGCAAAGGAAGTGATATGAAAGACAACACAGGAAAAGGTATAGCACAATGATAATAAAGAGAAAAAGCCCACCGAGCAAAGCCCAGAAGATTTAGAAATATGCATATCTTAAAAAAGAAAAATAAAAACACTGGGCTAAGTTAGAGTGCCATAAGTGTCCTCTCCAAACAAAGCAGGTGCACCCATCATTCTATGAAACTGCACAGAAAATAAGAGGAAGGGTCCTTATTTCACACTGGAAAAAATGTGTTCTAATTTCAGAGGACTGAATATTACCAGCACGCAGTCTTCATTACCCAGAGTAAAAGAAATGCAAAAAGTCCGTCAGAATAACAAGGAACAAAGAATCTGGAATTTTAAAGCTATTGTCAAAACTGAACAGGTAACATTCATTACAGGTGCTGTAATTTTTGTCACCACCTGCAGGTTTGTGATTTTCAATCTTTTATTTTCTTGGGCGACTGCTACTACTAAAAAAAACCCCGTGCATTGAAAAACTTTGAATTAAGTCATCATTCTTGTCTACAGCTTTTCTCCCCAAGACCAGGACATACTGATAAATATGGCAACTGCTTTTCAAAGTCCGCTGAAGATATTAGCTGCCTGTTTACTCTGTGAATTTCCAGCCTTGGAGAATTGACCTGCTTTACTACTTCAAATAACCCATGAATGGACTCATCTGATATTCACGTAGTATTTGCTTTACCTTCGGGCAGAGGAAAGCATTACTGTAAACACCAGTTCAGGTTTCCTTTCCTAGGGGCTATTAGGTGATATACTGCCCACAGTATGGTCTGCATAACCCCTTTCCAACAGCTGAGACCTATACTGTGCGCACTGAATTGGTCTCTCAGGTACTAAGCTTTCTCTGGGGTTTCAAGTTGGATATTTAAAACATAAACCAACTACTTGCCCTCCAAAATTCCTATCCAGAGAGCAGGCCTTAACTCTTCCAAAGACAGACCTTTATAAAGGCCTCAGATCTTACATCCAGCACTTCAGTTGTAGTGTCCTAACAACCCTATAAAATCCGTCTAATATGCTTTAGGGTTTTTAATCTGTCAGTGATCCTTTTTACAAAAGTTTTATTTTCTCTCTGATTGATAAATCATCAATTAAACACAACCAGCGAATTAGCTGGAATGAGGAACTTGTAATATTCGCCTTAAGTTTTTCTTAAACGACAGAGACTTGGCAGCACTACAGAATTAACTTAAGCATGTAACTGCAACATGAAGGGGAGAAATATGTGTGAAGATTTAATCTCATTAGTTAAAATAGTTCATTTCAATGGGAAAAATGAAAAGCTTACCATGAAACATGTTAAATAGTAACAAAGAACACTAGCTCTTCAGGAAAAGATGCTGAAAGAAATGAGATAGTGTAGATAAAAGCAGTAAAAATTCAGGGAATAGAAAATTTCACACACACACACACAAAAAAAGTGAGAACAAGCTGGTTGGAAATGCAGAAATATAAGATATGACCAGAAAGATTAAGTAACGGGAAAACGGGAACACAGTTGCAAATTTGAATTTAGTTAGTGATGAAGACTGTCAAGTAAAATCACAACTGGCTATTTAATATCCTCAGAAACCACACCTCTACCTTAAGTTGGTGATTTGAGTGGGTTTTTTTTTGTTCTACGTTTATAGTCAGTGTTACAGTCTCCCCTGTTTTTTTCTGTCTTGACTGATCATCTTTTACGGCAGTGCCTCTCTCTTTTGGACATTCAGGTGACAAACACCAAACGGAACATTATGTTTACATAAAGAGGTCAAACTCTTTGTTCTATGAGATATGATACACTGCAGCTTCAAAACCACATGAAACATTTAAAAGTACAACAGGAAGGTACAACAAAAGAATTAGGCATAAATCATGGGTATCCCATCCCTGGAAGTGTTC